TGCTGCAATAAAGCATTTTGTATAGCTTTGCTACGCTGTGGTGTGTTTAGCCCCTGGAAAACAAAGAACCCTCACACTGCCAAGGACACAAAGGCATATATAAGCATCTCTAAAGTCAATACTGCCACCTAAAGGACAACTGAAATTATTTTTTTTTCCTATGTATTTGCAGATAACAGCTTACCCAACAGCATTTCAAGGAATTGTATCAGTTACCTGGACTGAGAGATACAATGTATTTACATTTGAGAAGGACCAAAAGTGATTCCCAATTTTACAGTAATACAAATTATCCAATATGCTATGTTATTTAGCACATTTTGTAAAGTATTTGATATTTAAATGTTCTTATGACATTTAAAATGGTCGTTTATTTCCTATTTTAAATATCTTAAACTAGATTGTTTCAATTTTCATCTGGCACTAAAGAATAAAAACATAGCTGGCCAGCATCTATTGATTTTAGTCAATAAATTAAGTAACAACTGTAAAGCTCACCATTTTAATTAAACAGTTTCCTCTGTATAGTCAAAAGAGATACTGACTTAAATTCCTAGTTCAGGTTCTGCAGGAGCTAATTGCTGCAATAGAAGTATTGCATAATCTTGGGAGATCAGGAGGCACAGATAAGGAAAACAGAATCAGCGTAGAAATAGTTGATTAAAATAGTATTATTTATTAGGTTTAAAACTGCCCATGTCAAATGTTCAATAGAATATGTGAAGGAGATAAGATGAATACAAAAAATAAACTACGAATGTACTAAATTCTAAAACTTAGAATTGAGGTTAGCAAAATGTATGAAAAGCAGCCTACTGTTTTAAATATATTAAAATACAGCAAATAACTTGTATTTATCTTGACCAGAAAACTTTTGTCACTTATTTTATCACATGACTGTTTTGGAGAGCCAGTTTGGTATATAGTAGTGGTTAAAGCACCAGGCTAGAAACCAGGAGACCATGAGTTCTAGTCCCGCTTTAGGCACAAAGCCAGTTGCATGACCTTGGACCAGTCACCCTCCCTCATCCCAAGGAAGGAGGCAATGGAAAACCACTTTTGAAAATCTTGGCAAGAAAACTGCAAGGACTGATCCAGGCAGTCACCAGGAGTCAACACTGGCTCGGGCACTCCGCCTGCTGCCAAAAAAGACTGTTTCAAGTACATATCCTTCATTTGTACTTCAGAATGTATTTATATAATAGGATGATGTCCTACTTCATGGGCCTAACTGCTTAATTAATCTATACCTCCCTCTAGGAAAATCAGAATCCCTATCAAATATAAACTGAAATCAAAATGAGATGGCATCATAAATTCCACCCTTGTGTAACTGTTTCTTTATGTGCTCATATGCATCTGAGAAATTTACCAGTAACTTACTTAAAGAAAGAAAAGAATTTTAACAGAGAAAACATTCATTCATGCAAAATTATCACTCTAAAAACAGCTATCAGAGTGTCAATTAATACAGGGTTTAATGGAATATCAATGTGAAACATCCTGCAATAGATGAAGATTGCTTTACAAATTGCATACACAATGACAACATCAATCATCTTTACAATGTACAGTGCAAACAGCTTGTTTTTGTATCCCTACATATGCATAAGCACAATCCACCTGCAATAAAAAAAAATGGACAAATAGGGTATAGCTGATTTAGTAGGAAACCTAGGTAATGCCTTTATTTTTGGTTTAGTAACACATCCCCCCTGAAACTCCTGCTATGTTATCTCAAATGGGGCAGGGGGGCGCTGGAAAAAATGAGTCAAGAACTCTAGGAGTGTATGCCAAGAGTACATACCCTCAGAAAACTCACCTACCAATTGAGCATCATCCCAGCTGCATAGCTAAAGCAAGCAGGTACCTTTATAGGTCAGCAGCCACATAGGAAAATGCTGGAGGCAGATGATCACTTGAGTGTCAACAGCAAAGGCATCATTTCATACAGTGTGGGAGAAGGCAATGGTAAAGCTCTCATTTACCAAGAAAACGTGCCTAGATTAAAGCCTTTGGGACATCTTGTGGCTGATGTTACTGCACAAGAAAAGAAAACTCAAAGGGCAAAGCCAGAATTACAGTAGGAATATGGAGGTTAAGGAACATGAACGTTGGAAAGTTCAGCACTGTGAAAGTTGAAATGAATTGTTTACACACCAACATCTGAAGGATCAGTGAACTGAAACAGATTAAAATTGGACACTAAAGATCATACTATTTAATACTCAGCACATAAAAAATAAAGAAGGAACAGTGTTGCTTTCATAATCAGCAAGAATACAGCAAAGATAGTATTTGGGTACAATACAGTCAATGACTGAATAATATTAATTAGAATTCACAATCATTTAATGTGGCAAACGTCTACATTTATGCTCCAACTACTCATGCAGAAGAGGAAGTTGACAGGTTTTATGGGAAAGTTCAATCTGAAATTAACAGAACATGTGAGCAAAACATGCTGCTTATGGTTAAACCCTGGAATGCCAAGGTTGGAAACAGTGAGGAAAATGTAGTTGGACTCTATGGCCTAGGAAAGAGAAATGAAGCAGAGAATGACGTATCAGTTTCTGCCATTCAGTGATTTCATTATTGCTAATACATTCTTCAAAGAACCATAACAATGGGGATCACCAGATAGAACAGAGAAAAATCAGACTGATTATATTATTAGCACAAGGAAGTGGAAGAGCTCAAAAATACCAAAGACATGGCCAGTGGCTGATTATAGAACATATCACAAATTGCATAGGTGCAAGTTCACAGTCAAGCTAAAATGGAAATACTAAGCCAACCAGTTTCCACAGTATGATCTTGAGTATGACCCACCATTTTTAAGGAGAATATCAGGAATTACTCTGAAGTCATGAATCTCACTGATAAGGCTCTAGAAGTGTGGAATGAAATCAAATACGTTGTCAAAGATGAATGTGAAAAAAGACTGCCATAGACCAAGAAACCAAAGAAAGCAAACTGGATGTCAGAACAAATGGTGCAAGTCACCAAGAGAAGAGAAGCCACATCCAAGAAAGACAAAGATCTTAGAAAGGAACTTAATAAGAATCTCAGAGCTGTCAGAAGAGACAAGAAGCAGTATTATAATGACATCTATAAAGAAACTGAAGATGGTGACAGACAAAGAAAAACAAGGAAAGATTTCCAAATCATCTTGAATTCAAGAGGTTCCAACCTGGAATTAGTGTGCTAGAGGATGACAAGGCACAAATAGTAACTGATTAAAAAAAGATCCAACGAAAGTGGAAAGAGTATACCAAGACATGTCAACATCTAAGATACCTGAAAAGATATTCCCTACTTACAAGAATCTCTAGCACTAGAAGATTGACTTAGATCAGCACTCTGGTCATTACCAAGTTGGAAGTCTACAGGAATTGATGGAATACCTACAGAAAAAGAATCAGTAAAAGGTCTAATCAAACTATGCAAACTAATCTGGAGAACAGCACAGCGGTCAATAGACTGAAAGAGATCAAATTTATGTATCAATAGCAAAGAAAGGAGACATAACAGAGTGTGCAAACTATTGTACAATACCTTTAATTTCACACATTAGCAGAATAATGCTTAGGATTTTCCAATGCAGACTAGAGACCTACTTAGAAAAAGAGATGTGAGATGTTCAAGCCAGTTTTAGAGAAGGCTGAGGAATAAGAGAGATTTTTGCAGATGCACACTGGAAAACTGAGAATGCCAAAGAATGCCAAAAAGAAATCAATATATGCTTGACTGTGTTGACCATGTCAAGCTAAGGAATGCCCTTAGGAAAATAGGAATCCTAGAACATCTCATTGTCCTCATGTGAAACCTATACACAGGACAAGAAGCCAAAGTATGGACAGAACATGGTGAAACGACTTCACATTGGCAAAGGACTGAGTCAAGACTGTATACTCTTCTCCTTATTTGTTCAACTTATATCCTTAATATATACCGAGGGAGGTTGGATTAGAAGAAGATGAATAACGTTTTAAAATCGGAGGAAGAAACATTATTAACTTGTGGTATGCTGATGAACTACACTGTTTGATAGCTGAAAATGTGAATGATATGTAACTGAAGCTAGAAGTCAAGCAGCATTCATTGCAGACAAGCACATAGAAGAGTAGCAATGGCCTTGGAAAATATATTCAGATAATGTGATATGTTGATACCTAAAAAGATCAATATCATACAATGTTTTTTCCTGTTACAGGATCACTATTTAAGAGTTGGGCAGCAAAACTAGCAGAGTAAAACCTCAATTTACAAAACCTCAATTTTATTATACAAATAATGTAAATTACATCAATAATCTATACTGCTTCAAAAACAGACTTTGCTCTTTATTTGGGGGGGGTGACTTCTATTTAAAAGTTTGCCCACTGCATCCAGATTCCATTGAATAGAGATCCATAAAGGTATCACTGTTGCATAAGATTCAAGAAGGATTGAAATTGTAAAAGGAAACCATCAGGATAGATCAAAAGGAACAACTGATTCTAGTTTCACTTGTTGGTGCACTGGTACAATAGGCATTTCATCTAAATGAATCAGGATTTACAAGAGACACAACATTATAAAAAGGGACCAACAGTAGTAACAAATTAGTTTTAATTTGGAAAACTAATAGGAATATAACAATTATTTTGCTCATCCAGAACATCTAAAAAGGAGATACAAAGTAATTGGGAAGTTCAAAAGCTGACACAGTTGCACAGCTAAACCTGTTGGACCTAGAATTTAATATTCAACATCCATGAATGTCTCTATTTTAAATTTTAAATATGATGGCCAACACAACATCTTGCTATCCTAAAAACAAGTTCTAAATAACTGAACATGTTTGCAAGTTAAATGAGTTACTTCATTGCACTGCATTATGGACATGTGAAAAAAAAAATCAGAGATCACAGCAAACTATCTGAACATTTTTCAGGAGGCAGTTATTTCACAAACACCTTTACTGCCATGATAGTTTCCTGGAAAGAATTACCACTGACACAGTCAACTGATATCTTCAGAATCTTCTAGCCAAATTACCTATTGGGAATCAAGCTAACATAACTTATAAATCCTTGTGTAGGTTTGGGGTGGAGGGCATTGAAAGCATGTATGGACAATTTCCATTTAAAGGTATAGCAGACAATACTTACTAACTTGTTTTCTTGCATGTATATTCTCCGTAACTTCAGGCATCCTTTAGCTATAATGGTCATTCCTTCATCTGAGATCTTGTAACACTGCCCAAAATGAATGTCTTTCAATTCTCTGCACTCTGAGCCCAACTGCAAATGAAGTTAAAATCTGCATTAACAACATACTTAAAACCATTTGTATTCTACTTATCACTGTAGAACTCCCAAAAGAATGTACAAGGATAGGAAAAAACCCAGCAAAATAAAAACATTCCACTGAAAACATTCCAGGCAGTTAGCAACATATAAATTCTTGCCTATATGCATACACACATAAAACTGCTAGATTACACAGATTTTAACAACGATATTTCTAGCAGTATACTGGTCTCAAAACATTATCTTCTCTTGCAGTATTCACTGCAGTGCTTCAGCAGTTCACACTAGCTATCTAAACCTGATTTTCAGCAATCAAAAGAAACAGGCTTATTAGATTAGCAATATATTTAATATGTTCTTTAAAAAGTGTCTTCCAAGGCACTTCCAAGAATGTCTTCTGAGGCAGATCTTAAAGTACATTCCTAATGATAAAGTGCAAGTAGGCCTTCATACAACATTTAAAGCCATGGCACCAGATTAAGTTCATCAGTTCTATCAACATACTGGTAACCAACACAATATATAAAACTATAACCATAAACCTAACATTGTATACAGATGTTTTAGCTTCCATTAGGAACTCAGAGTGCACAAGAAAAGTTATTGCAGTCATCTTGGTAGAAGGTAAAGTATCTGAATAATAATGCTTGTTTCCAACTGCTGGAGTTGGCAAAAAGTATTATTGCTGCAGATAGCAGTAAATCCAGGGTGTGTACCTCTCCTTCAGGGGAAATACAACTCCATTCAAAACTAACTATATACTATTGTCCAGAGCAATAAGCTTCTCAACCCATACAACTTCAGTGTTTTTAGGATTTAGTAGATTAAATTTCAAAACACTGTTCATCGATGCATCCAGAACTGAATGCAGACACCTATTAGACAGTTTCACAGTGTCCAGGACACCTGGGCAGAAACAAGGCAGAGATGTGTGTCATCAGTTGAATAATAGCTTTAAGCCATGGTAACCAAATAGTGAAATGGAAGTTGGGAATACGGAAGGCATATATTAAGTAAAGCATGTGGCTTATTGCAAACCTAAATTTGACACATTTTTCTATTCAGAAAGAGCTGTGCATGTATGCAGACAACTTTTTGAAATGTGCTTTTATTATAACATGATGCATTACTTTGGATGCCTTTGGGTAAAGGGAAATTTGAAATGTAAATTTTGTTTTCATACAAAGAGTTGTTTTATTCATATTCACTCAAAATAATTCCCACTGAGTTTTGGGACAGCAAATAACCACAATATATAGATTTAATATTTCAACATCAGGTTTCAACAAACTCATACTTACATGGGAATATAAAGAGTACAAGTAATATGAAATATTAAAAATGTTTGGAAATTTGTATTTTAGACAAAGTTGAAGAAATGTTGATTAGATTACCTGAAAGCCCTCTAAGTCTAAAAGACTAATTAAACTCTGACGGGGGGTGGGGGGAGCACATCCTCTGCTACATATCAAGTTTGAATTTTTCTTACGGTTAATAATTGTTTTGATCATCTCCTATGCATGAAGAATCCCTAATACTTAATGTATTGACAACTTCCAAATACTTGGGAAAGATGTATACATGAGATAGGAAAATTAGGGCACAGTAAAATTACAATTCCATGAATATTAGACCAAAATATGGCAGTAGTATAAATACAAACCATGTGAGTTACAACTGCAACACTGCAGTTCCAACAAGAAGATCAAAATCAACTTTACTAAGTAAAGAAGTAATTAGAAAAGTTAACAACTCAGAATCAGGTGAAGTTAGCAAAGAGTTTTAAAAGCCACAAAAAGAGCTTCTTAGATGTTAAATATAAAAGGAGATCATCCTGCCAGCTTCTCAAAGGTAAAATGCTAGCAGATCACAAAACAAAGCTAAAACTATTCAACTTGTATTTAGCTGCTGTGTTCTCCAAAAGGACAGGGCAGTTGTAAAGAGCAGGATGAAAGAACAGTTTGAAGCTTGAGTTTGAAAGAAACATGGCCAGAGAATACCTATTTAATCTGAATGAGATTCAATTTCCAAATCCAGATCAACTGCATGATGGGATACTGAAGGAAAACACTGATGGTCTGGCAATCTTCTGTTAATTTTCAGAAACCATGGACTCCAGTCAAATGGTAAAGTGCCACATGACTAGAAATTGAAAAATATTGTCACTATCTTCAAAAGCAAGTCTGGGAGGAACTACAGATCAACCAATCTGAAATAAATGCCTTGAAATATTCTACTGCAGATTATGTAAAGATTGATTCATAAGCACCAGAAATCAGTATGGAATTGTCAAGACCAAGTGTTATTAACTAATCTTATCTCATTTGATTATCACCTTGATAGGATAAAGAAATAGGATAAAAATGCTATTTAACAAACACAAATGCAAAAAAATGCTGTTGAATGAAAAATCAAAGGCACAGATATAGCATGGAGAATATTTGGCATGTTTGTGAATATCTTGGAATAATAACTGATTGGTAACTGGAGGAACTGAGGTATGAAATGGCAGCATAAAAGAGAAATACAATTTATTTAGGCTGCATTAACAGAAGTATTATTTCCAAGCCACGGGATTTAATTCTTCCGCTCTGTTATGCAGGTACCATACCAGGTTCTGGACACATACTTTAATTAATTAAATTAAAATAAAAAATAATTTCTCACTTTCCCAACAGCTAACTGTAATTTATATAAATACAATCTTGAAGAATGATTCTGCCAAAAAAATGTCTAAGTTGCTTATACATTTGCTTTGAAACAGTAGAAAGACATAAAAATTGAAAAAACTCTTAACTTATAAATTAATCTCTGAATTAAATTTATCTTAAAAGCATCTAACTTACCCCATGTACCTGAATAATTCAAGACCATTTGTCTAGATTTTGCTTCACTTGTGTCACAATTGGGAATAAATTTAAGTTTAGCAACTGAAAAAGCTTTCCAAGAGTGATGAGATATACGAAGTATGACCTAAGCTCTGAACATTATTACTAATAGCATTGTGTACCTATTCCGAAGTATAATGTAACCAGACAGAATAACAGACTTCCATACCAAAGAAATAAGATTAGGGATAGAATTTTATGGCATATCTACAAACTTAAATAATTGTCCACATACAGCAATCTAGTACAGTAACTTCATTATTTTCAGAATGTCTTATGGAATAAATAAAAAGTTCTAAGACCAGAAAGGACAGGACATCCTTGATATGAAATATACCATATATATTAAAAATGATGTAATTACTCATGATGTAGGGGGCAAAAAAGTTATACCCATCCAATACACAAAATACTGGGAGAACCTCTAAGAAATCACAACTTACTTCAAAAGCTTTCAAAACAACATATAAAAAGTTTTATCAGCATGCAAAGTACTAACAACTGCTGAATTTTGCATATTTTGAATTAAATCAATGGTATTAATTATATACAAAGTTTAACAGAACTTTGATGGCCCTATATAATGCCACTGAAGCCTGAATTCTGAATATATTTAGCATTATCTAAAGTCACATACAGTACAACTTAACTGGTATGAAGAAACTTACCTGCTTAAGTCCTTCATCAGTAAGACGATCTTGGTTGCCAACATGAACTTTCTGAAGTTGAGGACACTGTGAGGCAACTGCAGTTAGAGATGCATCAGACAGCTGTTTACACCTATAGGCAGTATATTTTAGAAGTCCAGGACACTTAGATGCTAGTATACATACACCAGTATCTGTTACATTACGACAATCAGAAATGTTGATTTCAGTTATATTCTGGCTTCGTGATGCAATTCTTTCCAATAATTCATCAGTGACCTGCCAAATGATATCCAATATATAATTTATACTTTTCTTTATTAAAAAATTATACAAACAAAATCACAAAGTAATGTCAACAAATATCTGACTTTAGTACTCATAAAAGCATAGATAGTTGGTACATCATTGTAAATTGTTCTATCCAAATTGACCTACAGAGATTTCATGCTGTTAATACATCTATTTGTAGCACTGAGCTTACCTGATAAAACTCAACAGCTCCTAAAGCCTTTATTTCTTTATATATATACATATATATACACACACACACACACATATATATATATATATATATATATATGCCACCATTTCAATAGCCCTGAGGAATTTATAAAAATACATATAAAATAAACTTCTTAAACAAAATTAAAACTAATGATAATATTTCTAAATCATTAAAATATGAGTAAAAGTATACAGTTAAGCCCCTTGCTAAGCTGTAATGAAGAGACCAGTCTTAAATATAATTTAATTCCACAGTAAGGGTCGAATTACACAAAAAGACAGAATTTGTTGGTGTTACTGGAAGAAGTGTCCTAAGAGAGTGGGGCAGATTATGTAGGAAAAGGCAGTTCTACAGATAATCTGAACTTAAGCTTTTTAGAGTAAGATGCTATGTTGGTTCTCTATTCTACTTTTATTCTTATATTTAAGTATACTTAGTTTCGTTGAAGATGAATTAAAATGAATGACTTAAAATGGCTAATATTATATAACACTGCAGCTAGAAACATTTCCAACTACCTATAACCTATGTCCAACATTCATACAAATTCCTCAAAAATTCTAGTTCTCAACACAGATGTCCAAAACTGAGCACCTATGAGGACTCCCAAACTAACTACTAACACTGTTAGTTTTGCATTAGAACCAGCATCTTACTTTATGCTAATGTTCAAGTTACCAGGATTTAAGCTCTTATATTATGTCTGGAGCAGCAGAAAAAGTCCAAGTCACAATGGATTTACTTACAGTGTTTCCATATACATTAGAGAAAAATCACAAAAAAAGATCTTAGGTAGCTGGGCTGCATAAAGGTTCTTATTTACATCATTCAGCTCTCTTACTCATGCTAAGCCATACTGTGGTTCAGCATAGTATGTCTGCAGAGAATCTTAACCACAATACAAAACCATGGCTCACCTTAGCTATGGCTCTGCATGGTTTTGTCTGAACAGAGATAGTAGGCTAACAAATAGTATCCCTTTTGCCATCCAAATATAAAGCCAGAATCACTCATGCAGCAATGACTCCATTGCTCCACTTGTTCTTTCAATGCCTTCAACCACCACCTGGAGCAATCTGGAATAGGGTGGTATACAAATTATGTAATAAATAATAATAAACTGGATGCTCAGTTTAGAAACAATGAGTTTATATAAATGCAGGCACTGCTGCAATCATGGACAATGCCTTTATCCCCAAATGAGCCACTATGCCTTTGCACTGTTTTCAAACAAAAGAAACAAACAAAAACAGAAGTGACATTCCACCACAGCAAAGGCCTGTGCAAAGATTACTTAGAAGAGTTTTGCACTATGGACATGACATAATTATCTTTGCAGAAAAGGAGCAACGTAGTTTGTCTCCAAAATATATCTAGCTCCGGGTTGAACTGTGGGGTCCTTGGTGCTCTCTGAGCTTGGTTGTTTGCTTGCAGATGTTTCATTACCTGACTAGGTGGCACTGATGTAACCTAGTTGGGTAGTGAAACATCTCCAGTAAACAACCAGGCTCAGAGACCACCAAGGACTCCACACATTTTCTCTCATTAACAAAAACACTTCATGTCTCTTTGAAGCTTCTGTGCGTCTCTTATCACAGTCATTTGTAAAAATCACTTCTGGCTTTGAAGAGCATTAAAGAAGATTCTGGCACTGGTGAACATTGCTAGAGAACTAAGAGAATCTCTTCTCAATCTTCTCCAGCAACACGTATCTCCAGTTCTTGTGTTACAGAAGGTGGTTTGTAGGAGACCCCCAACTTTCTCCAGGAACATGTGAAAAAGCTAGAAGAGCGCAACTGTTGTGCATGTGCAAAAGCCTCTTCTGACTTTTCCAAGTGCCACAGACCACTGAGAAAAGGTTACAAAGTCAGCAAAGCAAAACTACTGGGTCAATTTTGTTCACTTTTAAAAGTCGGGGGACCACATGACTTCACTCACATTTTCATTCAAGCTAAAACGTCTCTTTGAAGATATATACAATCCTAACAGGTGGAATATTGCCTAAACAGGACCATCTGTTAAATTTGCTGGTAGTGGCTCACAGTGTTCTCAAAGTACACACTATGGTTAATTACACACAATTAACATAAATGTATGCTTAACATTACATATGAACACACCCATAAACTGTATTTGATATCCAAAATTATTTAGTACCTAACCATTGGTCTGATATAGCATACATTCTACATGTTCATCTTTCAAGCATCACTTTCATCTGAAGAAATCCTATTTCAATATTGCCTACACCATACCTGCTGACGACTACTGAGATCCAATTGTTTCCAAAACTGGAAATCTAAACAGAGGTCACGCCAGTATTTACAAACCAATGATGCTGAAAGACATCGCTCATTCAAAGATAAATTGGAAAATATCTATGAAAATAAAAATAGTTAAGAGAAGGTCAGATGTCTTCAAAGTTCCTTTCAAAGATATGCACATGATATTACCTTAACAGTTCTTCAATTTTTACAAGCATCAAGCACCTTTGTCAAAAAGAAATATAATCCTGGCTATACATTTTTCATAGGTACCCATTAATATTCAACATCCACTGCAAAACAAATAATGGTTGCCATGTTGGCTATGTAAAATCATCAAAAATTAAAAATGGCACACAATACCTTTATTATGGTATCAAATTTTTTATAATGGTTGCAAACTTCTGACTTTAAGCCATTAGACTAAATTTAGCCAAAAAAGCAGGATGAGGATTATAGATGAAAGCCACATCTGTATCAATTACATTCTTAACTGGAATGAGAAAGTTCCTTTGCAATGCATGCAAATCAAATATGAAGTGGTATAACAGTTGGAAATGATGTTATTTAAGTGGGATCTCTCTGTCAGAATGCTGGGATAGAACCACAAGCATTTGATTTGCTTCCCCCCCCCTCCCATTTTCGTAAATACAGATTCCACACCATTTCCATTATACAGGCTTGCTGGAAAAGAAAACAGAAATTAACTAGAAAATCTCTACATTCACAAAGCACTAGACAATGTACGTATGGTTTGAGCTCCATATCAGTAAAAAAACCAAATTGAGTACAAATACATAGTGCTGAAACAACATAGTAGAGTTAAATAGTAGATTGCAAGCAAAGCCGATGTAAAGTTGAATGATAGTGCAGTACTCTCCAAGTTAAAAAAAAAAAAAGTAATAATAAATAAAAAATAAAAACAAGTAATCAGTGAATAAATGTTTAGAATGTGCAACTATTACACAATTTTGGTGGCCTAATAACAGGCACTACCTCTTGGAATATTGTTTTAAATATTTCATTGCAAGTCAATCACAGTAATAAGCATTTAACTTAACTTGAATATATGACTTAGGCATTCCCCCCCATTTGTTAGGCACATTGAGTTAATAACTATCATAGATAGCAAACAGCTGTTTAAAAAATTAAATACCTCTGCTCCATCAAGTAGATACCATAAAGTTATCAGCAAATTCTGTCATTATAGATAGCAACTAAAAGATTAAGCAGAATTCTTTGCAGGGTTGCTTAAGAGCTTTTTGTCTACCTATCTTGGGAAAAACTAAAGTAATTGCAAAAATGTGGGATGCAGAAACAAATAAAGCAATGTACAAAATATTATACTTTGTAAAAGTTTATATTTCACCTGCTGGGAAGACACATAATAAGGGGTTTTAGACTGGATCTTTACAATACTCACAGGTCTCTATGTAGAGAGATGAGTGTCATTTTAGAATACAGTCTTCCAGAATGCCACCTACCCATTTTACATAATACTTTCCTCTGTGCTGCGTGATTCTGCTCAGACTGTTGTCAAGGTAGCACAGGGAGAGCCAAAAGAAAACCATCTACAGCTTTCAAATATACATTATAAATGCTACAAAATAAGCTTAAGTCTTGGGGAAATGATATCCATGAACCATTTGGTGTTAAAAGTCCACAGCTATTGGGGTACAATTAAAAAAAACAAAAACAAATATAAGCAGTTGAGCAGCTTCCAGTTTCAGCTTTTCAGACTTATTTCTTCCTGCAATTCCAGTATAAGAGAAATGAAAGCTGTGATTATCAAAACTACAGCAAATAATTCATTTTAAACATCACTTATTTATAAGGAAGAAGTATATTTTATTTATTTGTTAAAAGATATATTTTGTTTATAAAAGGAGCAGGAAGAATTTTCTAAATCATTGCCATGCAAAGTAGATGGTTATTTAAGTAGCTACAGTTGAACAGTTCTGAATTATTTCTTATCTCATAAAAAGATTTTTAAAAATTCTCATAAAAGCATTCATAATCCTCTCAAATCAGAGATTCAACTTCAGTAAGACTCCTTGTCAGCATTCAAGAACTATTACTACTTTGCCTTCAATAAAAATGTAGTTTAATGCTTTAAATGGATTATAAATGGCACAGAACTCCACACAAAGTCTTCATCCCCATCTTAATGACAGAGCAAAGTAGCACAGCAAAAGCAATCTAATGACATGTTTTCATACTAGAATGGGATTCCGGGCACTGCTGCTGATTGTTTTCAAGCATGACTGACCCCCAAATAGGTCAGGTGCAAGTAGTCAATGCAGAATACAACACAGGTATCCAAGAAATCCATAAAGATCAGTTCTTGATAATGGTGAGGAAGGAAGAACACTTAAATGATATATTCAGGGGGGTTTTAAAAAAAAGATAACCACAGCATACCTTGGGAGTCTCTGTGTCATAGCTACCTGACAGCACCACCCTTGACAGTCCATGCCCACCAAACCCACCTTGAGAAGGATGGAGGGAGGCAGCTGGTTAATATCCGGCACTGGAGGTTGCGAGTCTTGGCAACAGTCCCCCGGGTTTTCGGGGGGCTCCTCACAGTACGGTTCGCGGGGCTCGTGCTTCTCTCTCCCATCGAGCTCCGGCAGTTGCGAGGAAGAGCCCGTTGGGATTAGCCCCTTCCCATCCTCCCCGGCAGAGTCTTTAGGCGAACCTTCCCTGGCACAGTCTACGGCGCGGGGCAGGGGACAGAGGTGCTGCTCGGGCAAGAGGACCTGTTGGCATCCGGCGGTCTCGGGCGGCGGCGAAGGGGCCTCGGCCCCCGCCGCATTTCCCCTGAGGGTGGCGCAACGGGGCTGTTTCCTCGGCGGGCAGGCGCGTAGCCCGATTCCTTTGCGTTTGCACACCATCTCCGCGGGAGCCTCGCTGCTCTCCAGCCCAGACCCGAAGAAGCCCCGGCGCGCTGACGACGGCGGCGGCGAAAAGAGCAGGCTGGAGAAGAGCAAGCGGCGGCAGCAGCGACCCCGCTCTTCCCAGACGGCCACGGGGGGCCAGCGCAGGAGACGGCGAGCGTTGCGGTTCTCGGGGGGCTTCACAGCCGTGCACAGGAGTGAGGCCGACGGCTGCTCCTTCGCGGCGGGTGGACTGGCACTGTGGACGAGAAAACACAGCATGCAGGGCCCACGCAGGAAGCAGGTCCGGGTCCGTGGCGACGGAGGGACCTTTCCCCTCAGGGGGGCGCGGAGGTGATTTTTCTCCGCTTTCGGATTGGTTCCTTTCCGCGAAAGAATATGGCCCATATAGGAAGCAGAACCACGGCCACCCTGCTTGGCAGGGCCTTTTCTGAGCGGCGTCAACGCAGCTCAGCGACCCTCACGACATGGCTCCCAGCGTCTGTTCCTGACTCTCCAGGGCCGGCAGCCACAACGCTGCAGCTTCCGGGACATGGGAGGAAATGGCCAAGACTTCCGTCTCCCTGACCCGCCCCAAGTAGAGTTCTAAAAATAACCACAACAAACGAGGGACTCCATAGAAGCTCTCACTTCCGTTTCCGCTTAGAATCTTCCCACGTGATGGAAGCATGTGCTGAAGTTTTCGTTAAACGCCAGAAAGAGCGGGCTCTTTCTGCGATACTTAGAAATAAGTGGGCCTTCGGTGCTGCTGCTTTTTTCTCGCCCAACTCATATTGAAGCGAGTTTCTGTTTTAAAAAGGAAATGGAAGGCTGTAATGTTTTAACTGTTCGAGTAAAACAGAGTTCAGTGCGCCGCAGTATGGGTACCGAAATAATTCATTAAAAAAAATGACATTATTTTCTTCCCAGCTCGGCTGTGCGCATAGAGGCTTTTACACTGTAAAACCGGATGTATTGTTACAGAACATTAAGGCGTTATTTTGTATTTTCAGGAATTACTGACAAAACGAAGGAGCAACAGATGAGAGGGTCAGCTGCATTGCTGCTGCTACCTTGTAACTTTCGCCTCTGTCCCAGTCCATTCGGGACGAGACAAAGATCGTTATTTCTTTCAAAAAAGGTGTCCTACCCTTAACAGCTGGGAAGTAATACACTCTCTGGAAACGGCAACTTTTTTGCAAGCTTTTCTCAGCCCTCATAATTATCTTCCTAATGCTTTTGAATGTCATTGGCATTCTTTTGTCTTTTGCTCTTGGTTTTATTTGGATTCAGTCAGGCAAGGTTATCATTTGAATGTAAGTATCTAAAGTACTACCAGTGATTCGTTCCATATAATCAGCCAGTGAAAGCACCCTGTGATTGTGATAAGGAAGGCTAAATTATTAATTGTGTCCCTTTCTTCTCCAATTTTTAATTAAATCTCAAATGTTTTAAGACAGCTATAAAAACTTTGTGAATTCCAAACTCTACTCACTCAAAAAAAAAAAAAACATAAAAAATAGTATTTGTTCAAAGAAAGTCATCTTGTGCTTGACATATTTTAACAGGGATGATTAGGACAAAAAAAATTGAATCTTGGTGAAGCTACTATGAAAATACTGAAACTCTGTTTTAAAAATAGCACTTTTCAAAATAATGTTAATAGTAAATGAAACATTTTAAAATACCTTAGATTTTTTTGTAAATGGAATAAAGAACAAAGTTCAGAAATGCAACATAACCATACAAGGGAGAGAAGCTAATACAATAAAATATGTTGAGATTCTGATACTAGTTCAATTCACATGTATTAGCCAAGCTATAAACTGGTAATAATTGGCCCCAGATTTTTTCCCCACCTCCACCCAACAATTCTATGCTACAATGTTCTCTCTCACTTCTTGGTTCAGATAAACTTGAGCTCACTCTTATGTTTAAAGGGTAGACTCCCCATTTGATATGCAGATTCCTTTAGGAGGAGAGCATTATCATAATATTACCTTATTATTATATCTTGGATTATAAATCCTGTCATCCCCAGTTATCATGACCAATGGCCATGATGAACGAGAGCTTTGGTGTTTCAAAATTCTTGCATTTTATACTTATGGAAATGAAAATTGCAGTATATATTTGAGGATAATTCTACACCAATTCTATCAGCATGACTTGCCTTGACCTGAAAATTATTTGTTTTCAAATTATTGTACATTTCTTATTTTTCAAATTACTGTACATTTCTTATTTTCAAGTTCTATACATTGAGGATGGGTAGGGCTACTGTGGCCCTAATGTGGGAATCAGAAACTAAGTATAGCCTTGTTCCTAGTGTGAGTATGTATTGGTCAGTGCTTTAGTAATCTGAGATGAAATACTAGAGAGTAGAGCTGTTTACTCATGCCTGAGTTTTACTTGATTTTTTTTTTAATGTTCAATTTTAGCTATTTCTGAATTTTAATCAAGTTGCAAAAGAATATATTTATTCTACAGGAACAAGGAAATGTTAAGTTTTTCACAATCTGCAGGATTTTCAATTTGTATTTTCATTATTCTTTTGTTCCCGGCCTCTTTAAGGACTCTATTCTTGTTAAGAATTTTTCATGAATTAAAATGATTGTTTAGTACAGTACTTGCCTCCTTGTAATCGGTCCTAATAATGATATTCTACTGTTGATATTTTTATTTTTTCTAATGGGTTCAACATGAAATCCTGTACTTCTTATAAACTCACTTTTAGAAAAGGCAACTACAGAATACAAAGCCATAACTTGGAATTTATCTGCTTTGTCACTAGATGGTAGCATTGTTTCAGGCAAACTGAAAGCCTGTGTCAGAGGAATGGAACCTAGAAACAATTTAAAAAATCCATTGCTGAGAGAACTCTTCATTTTGTTATTGCTTTAATTTGAGTAGCAAATTCAATTTCTGCATAACTAATAATGCGTTGGAACTGAGGACCATACTCTAAAATCAACATATAGTATTAAGCTATTTAAACAATTCATTCTGTTCTGTAAATAAAAGACATTGATTATTCCTTGTAATCCAGGGCTGAAAACACTTATTGCTTTACGGGCAATTGGTCATCTGTGAGAAAAACCAGTTGAAGGACAGAGCTGATTCTGAACCAGTGCCAGTGATTATGAAAATTGAGCACCATATTCTTCCCACCTGAAGATGACAAGAGAAGTTTGTCCATTTTCTTTGCCTGCTGCACAGTATTCACACAGATAAACATTATTCAGGAAGAGGCCTACTTGGAAGAAAGCCCTCGGGTACAATTTGGCTAGATTAGTATTGTTCTGGAGTCCTTGGGGTTCTCTGAGCTTGGCTCTTTTCTTGCAAACGTTTCATTACCCAGCTAGGTAACATCTTCAGTGCTAAAATGGGATGGGGTTTGCTCTCTGTTTATGTGCTGTGGCCTACCATGCCAGTGTGGTGTGGGTTGGGGTTTTGTTTTGCTCCTCTGGTAGTTCCTTGATTAGCATATGTTTATTGCTTGATTGTGTGCCTGGTTGGTGCTAGGCAGAAGACTAGCAGAGTGCATCCACAAGCACCAACTAGCAGTCAGAAGACATGATGAAAATTCCTTAATCTCACAACACATGG